TTCGTGCAAATATGTGAGCTTTTGTCATAAAATTCTATGCAATTTTTTTCGGTTTTTGTTCAGCGCTGATTTGATTTTTCAAAATGCAAATAAAACCGAAAAACTTCAGCAGTTTTTTTATTTTTATTTTAATTTTTTTTTTTTGTATATATTTAAACTGTGTAAATATTTGCTAAACTGTAAGTACGAGTATGTAGCGCAATATTCCACATACTCATGTGTGATAGCCGAGTTCACGTTGTTTGCGTGTTGAGTACTGTGCTCGACGCTCATCCGCTTCCTCTGTTTTATTTAATTTTCCATTGCATTTTCGTTGTATGCGAAAAATAGGTGAAAATATCATTCGCTGACAGGCAATTGTTTCCGTTTTAATAGAAGAGTTAGCTGAATGCATGAAATAACTTTTGTTTAACCATCTGAATGAGTTTCCAGATTGAATTAGTTTCGATGACATTTTTAAAAAGTTAATTTTCCTATTTCCATAGTCATTTTTGTTCTCATTTTTTCAAAATTCTTTCCTGTTCAAGTGAATTTCCTGTTCGCAATTGAGCTAAAAGCTTTAAGTTAGTAACTCAATTTAACTATTCAAGTTTTTATTTAAATTATTAATTTTCACACTTAGTAGTTTAATTTGGATGTTATTTTTATTTAACTACGAACTAGTTTGATGATCATTCTTATTCCTCATATTTAGTTAAGCTACCAAAATTTAATTTCTCCTTTAAGCTCTAAACTGTAAGTGATCACATAATAAGAGTGATCACATATTCTCTCTATCCTATCTCCATTACTAATAGCAGATTTGTGAACATTCGCACAATAACATAATACATCAAGAACTTATCACGCTCACATACACAATTGAAATTAGATGCTACGGTTACCAACTCGAATATCAAATTAATAACAACAGTAAAAGATATCATTAATCAATCCAAAAATCCATGTTGTAGTATTACAAATAGAATCCATATATTAGCTTAGATTAAGAAGGTGTATTCTAATATAACTATCAATACTTCCAGCGAAGACATACATTGTCGGTTATGAGATCATCAAAGTTGTTTGGAAGAGGTGAGTTATACTAACGCCTGTTAAAAATAGAATCCATGGAGTGTAATATTGACACGTTTGAGGCATGACCTTCACCCACCTTCACAACTTTTCTTAAAAGATGCGGATCCAACATACATATAAACAATGGTTTGTATGGTTTTTTAAGCTTTATTAGCTGAAAAAAACATTAAAGAAACTTTTAAGTTAATTACGCGATTATTTTTGACTACAAAGAGATGACACTCCTTAGTAGGATAAAGTTAAAATTTCTGACAGGTAAAAGATAACCTAGAATATCTTCGCTGTTTCTGTCTGTTAAAAATTCGATTAAAATTCTTTGATGGTGAACTTCGACCATGATTTTAAAATAAGCTCTTTGTTAAAATTTGCTCATGACACGAACATATAATGTAGGTATACATATAATGTATATTGTTCAAAACTGCTTTTAATGACTTTATCTGGTATTACTACAGATCCATGAAGCCTTAGTTCTAGATTAATCGACAGAATTAACTGAAATGATTAGTAACTTTAACTTTCTCCACCATCCCAATAGATAGATATGTCTAATAGATAGATAGATGTGTCTAAGGTGACCTAATGATCTATTTTAAATGGGATTATGTTATTCTTTAATTTTCTGTCCCTTTCTTTAACTATGGTTGGCTCCACGAATTGATTCAATTCTGATTCTAAAGAGACAATTCTAAGTTTTTAGATTCTAATCTGGTAACACAACATATCTATGAAATTTTTGTTTCAGGCTAACCGGCAGTACCTACTTTATGATAAATTACCTTAACTTATACTACCACCTCAATGAAATAGATGGGTTTAAGGTGATCTAAATGTTTCCGTTCGTTTCTCTATCTGTGGTTAGCTATCCGATTTGACTCGATGAAGATTTTAAAAACATAGCTCCAATTTTTTAATTGAACATTTTTGTGACGTTTTTTGTGATTAGTTATATTTTTATGAGCAAAGTAAGCCAGCCATTAAAATCAATTTAATAAAGCAACAGTTTTGATACTATCCTATTTTAAGCCAACAGAATACTTAAAATTGTTTTCTTTGGTCCTAATTTCTTCTTAAATATTGTATTTATATGCAGGGGAATAAGGCTTCAAGTTATACCGTTTGTGACTATGCACCTTTGATTTGCTATGAGAGACTTCTTATTTAATAATTTCCTGAACTCCTTCTGGAGCATTGGGCCTCCAGAGAGAAACATTTTAGTCGTCATTTAAAAACTTGAGTTTTTCTATTGGTAGTGTTGGTAGTGTCACTTATAAAAAGATAACATCTATTATGATCACAGTACTCACAGTACCCCCAACCATTATAGAGTAAAAGTGCGTAATAGCACTAACTCAAGAAGAAGAAGAATTAAGAATCAAGTACTCACAATATTCTATTGAATGCTCAGAAAACTGTTATATACTGTACTCAATATAGTCGAAAAAATAAATTATATTCAAATTCTCACTACATTGTGAGTCCACACTGCAGCTATCATTTTCTTATCAGACTTGAACCACTTATTTCTAGTGTACTTTTTTTCCAATTTTATTTCGAACTTGGAGTTTCCCTCAAAAATCATTGATAATTTTCTTTGGACTGCAGTATCAAGATTTGGAAACAATTTTTTGCTTAAAAACTTTATTTGAAACAGTTTTCATGTGAGTTCAGTAAAAAAGTTGAAATATTTGTGCAAATTGCCCCACTTGAAAGTTCATTGCTTGGATGCGGAGGAAAATGTTCAATATTATCAATATGTTTCAAATATTTCGATTATTCTATAAGAGTATGTTTATCTGTGAGTTTGTAAGCAAAGCAATTTGCAATTGAACATTTACTGGAACCGCAAGTATAATAAAAATGTATCTAGATATTTTAACAAAAAACAAAAGTACAAAAAGCACAAAAAGTGCAACAACCTAAGCAAATATATTTATTTGCATAAAGACGCTAGCGTACCGAAAAGTTTTGATTCAAAAAAAAAAGGTGTACTAAGACCACAGGCAGACGCTCAAACGGATGGAGCGGTAAACATACTTTGGTCAAATATGATATTCAACTATATACCTATTTTTATTGTTTATTCTTGTACATACATGTGTATATGTGTACTGTAATATGTTTTCGAATTTATATGTATTTTGATTTTTGTATGAAATTACTTTGGAAAAATGGCCGCAAATAACAAATTCGCAAAAGTATTACGGCTGCAGCTACTCGAATATGAACTGCAGCTGAAGCACTGGTATTGCACAGACCTTCATCATACTCCAGATCCCTCCACTCCAGACCCTTCTCACTGCTTATGTTGTTTTGCTGGCTTATTGTTGTGGTTTTAAATTTTATTTGTTTTTATAGATATTGTGCATTTGTTGATACTGCTGCTGCTAATACTACAGTAGCTGTTGTTGTTGTTGCTATAACTGCTGTTGTCTGATGTCTTGACGTTTGCACGATTTTTGCAATTTGTTTGTTGGCCATTTCATAAGTTCAAGGGGTTTGATGGCTTCGGACGTAACCATATTAGCCCCTTTTTATCACACCACAGCATCCTTGTTGCTGTTACTTTAGCCGCACTGATTCCTACATCATTGCCCACATATATTTTCATGCATCTACGAGTATGTAAGTATGTATGTGTAAATATGTATGTATGCATGTATTTATTTCTATTATTTCCAGCAATATTGCAGTTGGTTGCGATTTGTTGTGGTTCATTGCTACAATTTTATTCTAGTCGTATTTTTTTAAAATAATTTTTTTTCCCTCTTCTAACAAGAAAACAATAGTGCAAAGTGCAGAATACTAAAAATTGTTAACGTATTTTTTGCTGCAATTTATTTATTTTTATTTTTATTTTTATTCAACGTACATATCCGTATATTCCTTTTTATATGTGTTCTTGTTTGTGGTAATTATTGCTGCAATTCCAGCTAACAACAGCAACAATTGCAACTCGCATTGCTGTCAATTGCTTTTGTTTGCTAATAATTTTTCAATTTTTACTTTGGTTTTATCTCAATTGATTAAGCGCAAAAATTAGTTGCAAAAACTTTTGTACATCGATTGCAGTTTACGGGTATAAATTCTTTATCAAGAATTTTTAATTGTTATTTATAAAGTCGAGCATTTTTAATCAATTTTCAAATGCATTGCTGAGATAGAAATTTTAAATTTTTAAATAAAAAACTTAAACTTTGTGTAATAAAAATAATTATTTGCACTTCAGCTGTACTAAACTAAATTAAAAAAAAAAACGAAAAAATAACTTCATAAGTTATGCTATATATAACTGTCTATAATGCGAGAAGCAATTTGATAATATCGAAGCTTACCCAATACCATAGTTAAATAGTGAACAAATAAAGAAGTCAAGGTCTTTAAGTGAATCCACAAAAAACAAAAATTATACTGTTTAATACGGAACATAAATCGCCCTCCCATCGCATTCCTAACTTCGATAGGTGATTATTCAATCTGCAGTGACCGTTCAATAATCTCGCAATAATTATTAAGTTATTTTTCCATTGTGCTATGCAAGCTCGGAAGCGTTTTAGATTGTAAGTCCCTAAAAGCATTTTAGTTTGTGATAATCTTCGTAGTTCTTCCCAAGAAAGGAATGGATAGAGATCCTTTGCCTAAAACACAGAATGATTCTGGGCCTATCATTCTTGAAGCCGTGCCTCTTCTTGCAAATTTGTCTGCCATTTCATTGCCCAAAATCCATATTAGTTGCACCTGATTATTACAGTCGAGAATGTTCAGCTTGTCAATGCACTTCCATACCAGTTTGGATGTTACCTGGTAGGATATGAGTGCAATTATAGCTCTATAGGTACATATACAACATATAAGCTTTGGAGCTTTTCTATAATATATATTATTTTTTTTCATTTATATGTTATAATAAAAAACCGCTCGAATTTATTTGAAGTAATGTTTAATGTTCTATAGAAAAATTTATTAAAATATTGTAAACTAAAAATTTTTCAACCGAAAAAAAATTAAAATGGAATCATTGAGACTTATTATGATTACTCAGCAATCATATTGAGATTTTTGATACTACTACATGTGTCGATTATTTAACTAAGAATGGTGTCAAGAAATATTTGTTCAAGATTATATACAATATCTTCCTCCTTCTCCTTATTACTAACGCCAGTGTCAGTATTTTGTTGAACCACAGCAGTTTCCTTTTTAACTGGAACCAGGTCATCTACAGTACAGTTATCATTATTAAATGGATTTCCAATAGGATTCTCCCAATTGTTCCAAACGAAAGATGAAGATGAATGATGCATAGGTAGAGGAAGTACTCTACGTTTGTCACAGTGTATCAAACAATTATCGTTGTTAAATGGATTTCCAATAGGATTCTCCCGCTCGTTATTATCACATCGAAATAAACTATTTTCAGTCAAAGGAATTACCTTTTCATTAACTAAAAGATCCGTATTAGTTACGTGATCGATTACCAGCTCATCATCATCAATATGTTGCACATTAGCTCGCCTATTCAGGTAACTGAAAGGACATCCATTTTCGTGTTCACACTGGTTCATCATACGTTTGACATTGGCACCAAGAACTGTTACTTGTACGCTTTCATTATCAATATGCTGTTTATTAGCTCCCATGTGTGAATAACGGCATGTACACCCGGTTTCATTATGAGCCTGAGTCACCAAAAGCTTAGTATTTGCTGACGCTTCATCAGCTAATTGTTGAACTTTAACTCTCATATCCGAACTACTAAATGGACACCCGTTTTTATGTTCAGACTGAGTCATCATACGATTGACATTAGAACCAATACCTGTTTGCATATTTTCATCATTAAAATGTTGCATATTAGCTATCCTATGGGCACAACGGCATGAACACCCGTTCTCCAAAAGTTTAGACATTGCTAGTTTTTCATCATCAGAATGTTGCACATTAGCTATCCTTTGTAGACAACGGCATGGACACCCGCTTTCATTTTGACACTGATTGACCAAAAATTTGGTACTTCTTGGCTTTTCATCGTCAGAATGTTGCACATTAGGTCTCCCAAATAGACAACGGAATGGACACCAATTTTCATCTTGTGATACCATGGGCTTATTTTTCTGTGGGTTTTCATAATCGAAGTGCACATTAGCTCTCCTATGTGGGCAACGGAATGGACACACGTTCTCATTTTGTGACTGAGACACCGTTAATTTAACCTTAGTACCAGCAGCTTCTATTTGTACCTTAATACTTTGGTCAGTGCCCAAAGAAATAGACGATTTCTTATTTCTAATATTAGAAAAGCAAGAAATAAAAAAAATCTTCAGATATTGGAAGACTTACCGCTTTTGCATTAAGCGAAGCTCCATAATGAAGAATGACTTTACGATTATAATTAACGTAATTGAGAGAAATATTACGAGGAGTGATTGGTTTACCATATCGAGACAGCGTTCTGCAAAAATTTTTTTACTTGAATGATCCATTTCTTAAAATTTTGTTTTATTTTATGGGCCTAAAGTTTTGTAACAACCTTTAATGAAAAAATAAAATAATGATAATATACAAATCTAATTTTTGAATGTTATTTTACTTTTAAATTATGTTTACTGAGATAAACTGAAATATAACATTTGTCCTCACTACAACTTTAAAATATATTTCTCCGATAAAATTTGTGTTATATATACAGTGCTAGCTTACATAAAAAAAACATCAAGAAACACATTTTTTACTAATTATTGTTGGAAGGACTTGGTGTAAGAACTTGATGATTTGATTATATTGCATTCTGAAAATTATATCGCGCAAGCGGCCATCCTTAGCTTGAATAACTTGTTGATATAAAACTTTGAGTTCAATTAGCCCTAGAGCAAAAAGTCGGTCGGTGAACATTTTTTGACGAACGCGAAGGTCAATCAAAATCACTATTTTATGATATCAAGCGATCGGGGAACAATCGCTTAAAAAAGTCGATTGCGACAAGAGTAGTACGATATCTTCTTAAATCCAAAAGTGCTATCGGCCTAATTGCTCAGAACAATGTAAACCTAATATTTACGGTCACCATTCAACATTGGCTTTATCTGGGTTTAACGACGGTACCGAATGATAAAAATGTTTTGTGCAAACGCTTTGTTCTGTTCTTTGGTAGCGTATTTCTCACTTCATTTTATTTTTATTTTAATTTTTATTTTCTTTTTTTTCTCTTTGAGAAATTATATTAAATGAAAATCTGAATAATACTAGTATGTTCGACTGATGTGTACTGATTCTTAGCAAAAATTACCTAACACTGGTGTTGCAATGATAATGTACTATTATTAGGCATTCTCACCTTTCCAGGGTTGGTCACTTAATATAACCAACCCCTTACATTTTGAGATGTGTGACCTCTTAACATGAATTTCATGATCCTCGACTAAACATAAACCAGAATTCGTATCAACTTTTTACTGTATTTACTTAATATCAAAATTTTAGACTTTAAGAAATGTTTTTGAATTCATAAATTCCAAGAAGTTGAATCACAGCTCACAAATGACTCCATCAAATGGTTCCAAATTATGCTTAGTTTGTTTGGCACTTGTTTGGTTTGACTGCAAATGCAGTGATTGGCATTAAGCTAAACTCCTACGTTGCACTTAAGTGTTGCACGAGACATTTGCAACATTGATTTATGAAGCCCATAGCAACATAAAACAAAGTTAAAGGAATATAACGCTGAATACGTTCTGCAATCTGTTGTAAGGATATTGAAATGCGCGTTTAATGGCATATTTTACATATCACTATGCCAAGAAGTTGCAAGAAGACACTGTATAGGGTACAGGGAGTTTCGCTTGGTGTCGCAGGATATGTGCACCCTTGCAATCGTAAACCCGTCTTAAGTTTAAAACGATTTTCTTTATGATTTCTGCAGTGATTTGCATAAATTGTTTGTTTTTATGATGATTTCTTTTGTTCACTTACTGCCGCTGCTGCCGTCAGTTTTATATGCCCCGTGCCTTAAAGGATTTTGCCATATGTGGCCCATATATCAGTTAAGATGGGTGTACGTTTCTATAAATATGGTAGCTCCTTAATATTTTTGTGTGCAGTCTTGCATTCAATATAAACAACAACATATGACATAGCAATTCAAATCCAAATGCGTTCGCAAATGTCCTTAAATGTGACTCTTCTGCCGTTGCCTCTACTTCTAATATCCTTATTGTTTCAGTATTTTATTAGTCTAAGTTTTTATTGTTTGCTTGACATATTTATGCTTGTACTCATGTAGGTATGAATATTTCTATTTTAAAGTTATAAATTTTATTTTTGGCATAGAGAATTACAAAGCACTGACGGTTTTGTTATTTTTTTATAGATATAGATATATTGCCAAAATGACTGAAGCTGCGATTTCACTTAAAATGTCCTTTCTCTTATTGCATGTGTGTCACATTATTTTTTTTTATTTATGTGTTTTTTTTTAAATTATTTAATATTTTATATGGAAACTTGCACAATAGCAATTTAGCATTTACTGGTTAAACTGATTTGCATTTATGAAACCTTACGTGGACATGTACGACCATCACATACCCAAGCCAACTGTTATGTGCACCCATAAATTGATTTAACTGAGATACATGAACAATTCAATCATGAAACTTTGCCATAATCCGCTTTTGTAATGCGCTTTCGTACCGATTCCAATTTGAAGTTTTCAACTTAATTTTCCAGCAATTAGGTTTCGTCCTGCATACATACGAAAATATTATTCATATGCGTTTGCATTGATGTTGCAATATAGCTTGGGTTACGTAGAAATTGTTTTTTTAATGAAGAAGGAGTGCAATCTCATATAAAAATGTATTTCATTTTTCACTATATAATTCAATATTTACCTTTTTTCAGGCTTTTTTGGAGCTACCATATACATAAATAATGAATAGCTAAACTTATGTAAATAAATCAAAACATTTGATTTACAAGTACGTTAAGCATTTCAAATAAAAACAATTTTTGTAAACTGATTAATATATCACAGCAATCTATGAAGAATATACATATAATAATCATATGTTTATTATGTTCTTTATAAATATTACTCACATTTATGATAAAAAAGTTATTATTATTGTTTATGACGTTGACTCTAAGCCGCCATGGCTTGATAAACAGAATTTAACAGTCGAGACGATCAACTATTCTTTCGTATAGGCTATTAAATATGTATTAAAAAATATCGAAGATAATACAAGTTTTAAGTTAATGTCAGAGTGACGCTCTTCTGCAACAATAAACATTAAGACAATTTATACAGCATCGAAGCACCACAATAATATCCTCCAACTATTTTCTTTAACAGAATGACAGATTCGTAGGTAACTAAGTGTGGGTTTCCAAACAGTATCTCATCAAGTTAGTACGGATAAAAACGGTCGTCTAACTAGGACCAAGTGAGCAACAGACTGCTGACATAAACGTATTGGAAATCCTCGAATCCATTTCCATTTCTATTGTAGTATTTCATCCAGATATAAAAAATATATGAAATTGGCAACACTGACGTCACATTTTGACATTTAACTTGTTTGTTAAACACAATAAAAAAATAACTCTATATACGTCGATAGCAGACATAAATATTTATAAATCCTTATGTGATTCTTATATTTTGAAAAGAAAAGACCATATTATATATTAATTATATTGTCAAGGGTATGGTATCTATCACGTGTCCCCTCTTACTACCTCTTTATATATCACTGCGAAAATTTTAATACTATGGATACAGTTCCTTTGTATTCTAAATCTAAGGCAAGTTCCAAGAATTTCGACTCACATGAGCTACTAAAAAGATGATTCCGAATTTGAATACGATTACTTTAAGCATGTCAGAGTATATCAACTATATCTGATGGGCAAAAACCGAGTTTCAATTCTACAAATTTAACAATACACCTATAAAAGAACTATTGTTGGATGTTTCAATGTAATTTTAACAATAATTTTACTATAATTTTAATATATGAAATATTAGTTAAAGAAATTATTATTATCTATTGAGTGTATTCCACATAAGACAGGAGTTTTTACAAGTTTGTATTTGTAGGATTTTCATCTGTAGATAGAATAACTGAGCTATCCAAATTCTATTAAATTTTAACAGTACATCTATGAAAGATCTACCTTATCTTTTCCACCATATATTTGAAAATAGGTGACCTGGGATAACTACCTACATCTTTAAGTCAGAAACTTTGCTGTGTATGATATAAAAACATATAAATATTTTTTGATAACATAACAGTTTGAATTCCAATTTATAGTGGATTATATGTCATCACTATATATTTTCTAAAAAAAAATGTAATGTGTAAAAACACAACAAATTTTTAAAGAGCCAAAAGCTTCGGTCTCCCACTAGTTTATAATATTCTTAATTCGAAAATTTTATGGAAAATTTTCAGGCTTAAAATATAAATGCGCAATGGCCGTAAATGGTGCAAATAATTAAAATGGCGGCCAATGAATTGTAAAATTACCACAAACTCCATTATAAATAATCCGATTTTGGTAAAAACAATTAAGAAAATTAAGCACACAACAACAATTAATGGAAAAGCGAACAAATTTATCGCATTTTTAGCACTCATTTCAATGTAATATTTTTAAAGGAATATTTTTCAGTAGCACATATACGAGTAGTCCTTCTGGTTGTTTTTTCCTCCACTTTGGTGTACAGGGCATGCAACTAAAGATATGCAGCAGAGCTTTCCATTTAATATTTATTGCACGTACTCAATGAAGAAATTCCAGCAACATCTGCCAATTTCTTTTCAGCATTTCGACTTTCGACATTTTTAGAAAAATATTACGAGAATAAGGACTTTTTTATTTTCATAGTTTCGGTCTTTGGTTCTCAAATTGTATTGTGTACGTTGCCCTTCCCGTGCTACTGTGTTCGTAGTGTAACTACAATAACAACAGCTCCTCATGGTTGGTTAGTTGGTTAGGTCTTTGCTGCATAGCTGGCCTGCTATCTACTTAGTTCCAATCGCAGCTAATAACACCAAAGAAAGGAAATATTGGAGAGAAAAAATCGGTTGCAGGTCACGATTTGTGTTCGTTTCGCATTCGATTTGCGATTTTGTTGCTGAATCGCCGACAACGACCACGTTGATGACTTTGACTATTAAAACGATGACGATGGACATTTAATGGTGTACATTATGCGCATCAAATGTTCCAAATACCAGTACGAAATACGTTAAACCATGGAAATGTGCTGAACGAGAACTGCACATTTTATACATTATTTGTAATTTTGTAAATTTCTACACGTAGATGCATTCATCTTCGTTGCAGCTGGTGAATGAGCACAAGCACCAATGCTATGAGTATTTCACCGTGCAGATAATATAAACTGATTAGGGCAAGGGTCAGAAACTTCTGAGCTATACTTATCTATGCATGCATAAGTAGCAATGCAATTGTGAAGGAATTAATTTTAATTATAAGAAATATTTTTACTTCCATAAAAATATCGAAAATTCAATACTTTTT